TCGGCGCCGTCTGGGTTGGGCCTAGCTCGGTGACGTCCCTCCCCCGGTTTATCTTTCTTAGGTTACCTGCTCCCCCGCCTCTCTGGGCCTGCGGGGGAGGTCGGGGCGCGGGGCCCGTCCCTTCCCAGGGGACGCTGCTCCAGCCTGGGGACCCCCGGCTCGCGCGGAGCTGGAGTCTCGGCGCCGACCCCTCCGCGTTAGGCCCCAGAACCGCGACAAAGCGCGGGGCTAGTCCCTGCAGCGCGGGCCCCGGCCGCGGGCGGGACTCCCGGGTCCCCACCGCCAGGTGCTGGAGCGCGGGGGGGCGCGCCCGGGCGGGTGGTCAGCACAGCCCGCGCCGCGCCCGGAGCTCCCGCCCGCGCCGCCGCCGCGTCCCCTGAGCCCACCCTCTCCCGCCTCCCCCCGCCCCGCGACCTCCGCGCCCCAGGAAAGAGTTCGCTGAAGACCGACACCCAAGTAAAAAGCGGTCCCGCAGACCCGAGCCTTCGGGTTTGGGCTCCTCTCGGCCACTTGGAAGGGAAATGGGTACGTGAGAGGCTCGGAGACTGCGAGGGGGAGAGGGGGACACTCCTTCGCCTGCCAGTTTGCCGAGAGGCAGGCGGAAGACGGGGCGCATCCCGTCTCAGCAGGGTCCCCCCCCTCTGGCCCCGGCCTCTCCGAGGACACTTCCAGCGCCACCTCTCTGGCCCGAGGGGCCCAGGCCGTGCGGGGCCCAGCGACCCCGGAGCCGCCCACATCCCGAGCAGCCTCGGTGGGCTCCGGGCCCCGACACCCCCCCCCGCCCCCCTACTCCTCTTTCTCGCTCAGCCGGAGCCGCGGGCGTCGGGCGGCCTCGGGGCTCGGGACGAGGAGGCTCCCGGGGGGCAGGAGGCGGGACTGGGACGCCGCGAGCCAGGGTCTAACTCCTGCAGCCCTCTGGGTCCCGCAGGAGCCCCCCGGGGGGGGGGCGGGTTAGGCAGAGCCGCGGCGGGGCGCCCTCGAGGTCACCCACACGTCGCCGCTCCCAGCCCGCAGGCCTGTCCCCAGCGCCGGGGGCGGCAGAGGGGCGGGAGCGAGCGGCGGGGAGGGCGGGGAGGGCGGGGAGCCGACCCGGGTGCCGAGGCTTGGGAGCCCGCCCATCCGACGGGCGTCGGGAGGAGGAGGGTGGGGCCCCCAGGAACCCCGACGGGACCTGGAAAGGGCAGTTAAGTCGTGTCCGCTGAGGGAGATGCTCAGAGAATCCGGGTTTTTGCAATTTCCGGTAAAGGTATCCGTGGAGATCGCGAAACTTCGCTCGTTCAGGCGCTTGGGAAAAAAAGAACAAGTGTGACGAGACCCCAGTCCTCCTCCCGTAGGAGTCTGGGAACCTTGGACACCGTGGGCGCCGGCCCCCTCGGCCGCCTCTCCTGTTCCTCGAGAGAGCGTCCAGGTCCCGGAGCTCGCGCAGGGACGCGAGGACCCTCGCAGGCACCTCCAGCGCGCAGCCAAAGCCGCCCCTTCCCCTTTCTAACGCGGCTTTCTCCCGCCCTTAAACTCTGCGCACCTGCCAAGGCGCCTCGAGGCGTCTAGGGCCAGCCTTCTCAAGGCATCTCCGCCCACCAGGATTTCCCTCTTCTCTTAAATGTAAAGCGACGTTTTTTTTTTTTTTTCTGGACTGAAGAAATCTCGTCGCGTGTCTAGATTGAATTAAAAACTGCCTTAAACTTGAGAACTTGCGAGAAAGTGGCAGATTTACAAGGGACACATTTCGGGCAAGAACCATTCTCTCCTTCGAGGTCAGACCCTTTTGTTAACGGGCGTCAGTAACTCGACGACTTAACGGGAATTGCAAGTAAGGGTAGCTCGCAAAGTCACATCCCCAAGCCGACCAGCCCCAACAGGGACAAAACCCGTCCCTGGAGGCCAGTGGCTAATGTTTCCTCCCAATAGATCAAGAAACCACATAACCTGGCTTCCAAATGATTTCTCCCCCCTGGAGTTCCTGTCCTGTTATTAAAGGAAGCCTTTCTTCCAGTCTCTAAGCCCAAGGGAGTTTTTGTAACCCAGAGAAGAGCTCCGCCTGGCTAAGGGAACTCCCCAATCCTGGAAGCAAGGTCTTTTTTCTGCTTCAGTTGGATAATTAAGTATGGAATTTCCTCGCCTAGAGGTTCCTTTTAGTGCAGTTTCCCAGGAAAATGGACCTTACAGCTCTTTGATTTGATCACTGGATGCATCTAAAGGGATTCATCACAGCAGCACAACCTCAAAATTCACCACTCCCCTGGTGTAAGGAGTGTGGCTTTACTCCTTTCCAGAGCCCAACTTAATTAAGCTTCAGCTCTAGAGAGGGGTCGGGGCTCCAGTCTTTCCTCAAGACCAGGCCTTTGGAAACAGGATCCAAAGTAGCAAGTAACTCAGGGGAAAGTCGTTTTCCTGATTGATGAAACTTCTCCCTCCCCTCCCCTTTTTAAATAATAAACTCACCGGGAAAGGCTGGAGGGCTGCCTTGTGTTGGTTTCAAATAAATCCTCAACAGCTCTTTCCTCACTCAGAGAAATGAATCACCCTTGGGAAACAGACGATTATTCCCCATTTGTCTGCCGAAAACCAGGGGAAATACGCACCCTCCACTGTAGACTCTCACTTTGGTCTTTCTCCCTGGCACTAGGGGAGTTTGAGGGGGTGGGGGCCGGAGATGGAGGAGGGTGAGTTAAATAGAACCAGGACCCACTGAGGTGCCCTCCAAAGGGCAAGCAATGGGGACCCCAGGGAGGAAAGGACAGATAATTCCTAGATCTGCTCTCCATGCCGGATCCTGGAGAGACAGCTCTAGTGCTCAGCAATGGAAACCACCAGCTTCCTCTTCTTGAAGAGAAGTATAAGCCTCAATCAGCTGATGGCGACGTTACATCTAATTCAGAGGCCAGTTCAAGGGTTGGTATATTTCAACCAGATTTCCATTTTCCTTAATAAGAAATATGGGCTTGTTTTTTCACGAGGAGGTGATTTCTTGTCCTGTGTAAACAGATAAACAAAACCTTCTTGCTGGATTACTTTTGCTCATACAAACTATTTTGAACTGTTACAGAATTGGGGGTGAGGGATGAAGAGAGAAAAGTAATTGGTTAAAACGACCCCTATCTTAGCCATCATTTATGTAGAAGATGCCCCCATGTATTCAGCCAATGAGACTTGCAATCTAACGTAGGAAAGAAGGGTGAATTCCTTTTATAAATCTTTGAGATGCTGGGACTTTAAGAGGTGGTTGTCCCCATCCTGAGCACACCTGACAAAGCAGAGTGGTCTTCCTTTTCTCTGTGGGTCCCACTGCCACTGGGGCAGGCAGGAGAGTGGATATTTGATTATTTTCTAGGGCCCCTTTTTGTTGACTTTAAAAACATACACTGGATTTTAACCTATTTATTTTTTTAAAGGCCACATGGTCAATTTAAAGTGAAAAGAATTTAACTTATTGCTACATTCCTGTCTGTTGTCAACACAGCCCGTGCAGCGACCACTCTGCCTCTCATTTCCTGTCACTTTGGGTTTTCAGATTACTTAAAAAAAAAAAAAAACTTAATTGCTGACTTTATGAGCATCCGATTACTGCAGAGAAATAAGGAGCTCAAATATCACAAGACTACCAATGGGCAATGCCCCCATTTGAAAGACATCTGGTTGTAATAATTAACACCAATGTATCTGACCTTTTTATCTGTGAATGACCAGAGAAAACTCTTTGTATCTGCCCACCCATCCAAATCTCTCACCCACTGCCAGATACACCTTACTGGGTCCACGTATTTTTTTTACCCACTACCCCCATCTTCAAAAATTTTAGGCAAAGGCGAAGCCAGGATTTAAATGTTCTTTTTTATTTGAAATCTCATCCAGAAACACTGGTTATTAATAAATATATCATAGTTATCAAGAATATATAAAAAATAAAGACAGGTATTGTCTTTGAGGCCCTAACAAAATATTTCAAGCAAATGTTCAGGAAAATAAAAAACGGCACCCCTCCCCAAACCACGATAACTTTTCAAAGCTGATGATAGAGAGAGCCAACCCCGCATGCAGAATCACTGAGCAAGTGGGGGATGGGGCAAGCTAGTAGAGGGAGCCCAAGCTCTGTCAATAGCTGGCCCCTAGAACAGCCTAGGGATGGAGTTTGGGAATGGAGTTCAGAGGGGGTGAGGGTGAGGGTAGGGCTGGAGGAAGAAGCGCTTGTGCGTGAGTTTGGGTCTTTGCACTCTGCCCCCCCCTTTTTTTTCATTTCATACAACCACAGACAGATATATGGATACTTCGGAGAATTCACTAATAAATCCTTGTTACAAGGAAAATGGCATCACGGCCTGCATAACATGTTTAGATAAGATTCATTTAGAAGCATGCATGCATTCTTTTGACCTACACTGCGTCTGAAGGAAAACCCACATAAGAGATGTCATGCCCTGGACCGGAGTTGAGATTCAAAACTTGGGTCTTGATCAATCTCTCTCTCTCTCTCTTCCTCTCCCTTTCCCTTTCTCTCATTGTCTCTAGAAAAACTGCTATGAAGAGGATAGTGACAATCCTAATTGCATCCATCTCAAGGAAATATTTACATTTGTTTTGCAAAAAAGGGATACTGTCTTTTCTCAGGTGAGAACGTAGAGCCAGAGAAAGCCAACTCTAAAGTCCCTTTGCAAGTTTTTAACCACACCGATCCCGTCTTTATACAACAAATGCAGTTTTGACAAGAGCATATGTAAGTGAGAAATACTGGCGCGGCATGGGGAAAAGAAGCATGCATGCAAAACACACGACGTCTGGTTTGAGTCCGCCTTCGTCACCACCTAGAGATCGCAGTTTGGTTCTGGTCCTTTCCCTCCCGGGGTCTACGGGGGTCCGAGATCTCTCACGCGGAGTGGGGGCCGCGACTCCGCGCTCACCCTCCCCGCCAGCCGAGTGCGCAGCCACCCCCTTCCCTCCCGGCCCAGCGCCGCGGTCCCCCCCGCCTCTCTCCCCTCATCCTCGGCAGCCGGGCGGTCCGCTGCTCACTTGAGCAAGTCCTTCGACTCGGCCGACAGCCGAGCCATGTTGGCGGTGGAGAGGGCGGAAAGGTGCGGCGGCGGCGGCATCTGGCAGATGGTGCAGGGGCACGGCAGCCCGGCCCAGTGCTGGAAGCCGCTGCCCAGCTGCAGGGCCGGCGGCGTGGAGGGCGCCTTGAGCAGAGAGTGGGGAGGTCGAATGGTGCCGATGGCCGGCAGCGAGGCGGCGGACAGCGGCGACGAGGCGTTGCCGGACGAGAGCGCGCCGCCCAGGATGGGGTGCACCGGGTGCACGGCGTTGGCGGCGTGTGCTGGGTGGCCGGCGGAGTGGCCCACGGTCCCGCAGTGGAAGGCAGAGTGGTGGCCCCCGTAGATCTCGCCAACCAACCTCTTCATCTCCTCCAGGGAGCTGGTGAGCATGAGGATGTAGTTTCTGGCCAGCAGGAGAGTGGCGATCTTGGAGAGCTTGCGCACCGAGGGCCCGTGCGCGTAGGGCATGACCTCGCGCAGCCCGTCCATGGCTAGGTTGAGGTCGTGCATCCGCTTGCGCTCGCGGCCGTTGATCTTCAGCCGTAATTGCTGTAGGTCCTGCTCCGACAGCTGCTTCTTGATTTTGTACTTGCTACTCTCGCCCGTGGCCTTGGCGCCGGCCCGCGAGAGACTCTCCCCGGGCATCTTCTGCACCATGTCGCCCTGAGTGGAGGAGACCGAGTTGAGACGGCTCTCCTGGTGGTGGTGGTGGCGGTGGTGATGTTCCCTCAGATACATCTCATCCATGTCCGGCGATGAAGCTCTGCTGGAGACAGAGCTCGAATCAGAATTCATTTTATTACGGGGGATGCGGCCCTACCGTGGGGAGGCTTTAGGTGGGAAATTAAAGAAAATCTTGAATTAAAAAAAAAATCTGCACAGCCCAATGACCCACTTCTCAGCGACAAGACGTGAGAAGAAAAGCTGAAGCACTGCCTTTCCCCCTCCCCACTCCCTTCTCTCCGCTCGGCTGTTTCCTGGACTGCGAGTTGGTGTATGCTTGCACTAACCTCACGCTGAAAAAGAGGGGCTTTTATAGAGCTGCGCCGGAGAAAAGAGACAAAAGGAACCCTCCTATCTATCCTGCGCTGGTTAGGATGACGTGCCATCATTCAGGGCGGTGCGCTTTGCTGTCCCATTTAGCAAGGATTCCTATTCATATTCATTGTGGGGCCGCCCTGGGACACCTCTGCTCAGAACCGCTAGGAGCCCCAAGGCACAAAACCCTCTGATTGACACACTCACCCCTCCAGCTCGCTCCTTCCTGATTTTTTTTTTAAACTTTGCTTCCCCCTCCCCCACAATTTCCCTAACCAAATCACACCTAAGGAATCGACCGACCGGAAGGAGAGAGGGCCGGGCAGTTGTCGGAGATTCCTCAGGATTTGGAGAGAGGAATTGAAACATTCTCTTTTCTGCACAGCAACTCCCAAGTTTTGGGAAATGTGAGCCAAAGAAGTCCTATGGAACTGTTTCAAGGACAGAGATGCGGTTGGAGGGCAGGTTCCACGCGCCGGGGCCGGGCGGGGGGGGGGGGGGGACCGCGTGCCGATGTGCATTGTCTGAACTGGTTTGTATTAGGTGTCTTTTCCTAAACACCGACATCGTGTTCATTTTGTTTATTGGGCCCTTCTGATGTGGTTTCAGTGGGATGTCCGCGTCTGGCGAAGGGTTTGCCTCCGACACAGTGTGGGGATGGGTCTCTTGTTTTTATTTTTGCTCTTTTTGTTTGTTTGTTTTTGGTCCCCTCGTTTAAATAAACAGATTACTGAAAGAATTTGCTTTGCACAATTCTTTAACTTCTCCTCGCCCCCCCGGGTCTGAGGTGGAAAAAGACCTAGAGGAAAACCAAAAAACCCAACCCTGGCGTTCCGAGAAGAGCAAGTTGAGAAAGGGAGGGGAGGAAAAGGAGCCGAGGGGGCAGGGAGAGACTAGAGAGGTTTCCCTAGAACTCCAGAGATTGTTCCTGCTGGGGCTCCCCCGCACCCCCAGAACCCGGCGCTCACGCAAGCTGGAGGGGCAGCTCCGCCGGGCGGCCTCGGGCCCTGTGCGGGCGCGCGGGGGGAGCATCGACAGCTCAGCGCCACCAGGCTGGGGCCGCCGCACTCAGGCGGGCCGGGGAAAGTGAGCGCTCAGGGTCGAATAAGAAACGACGAGTGTGTGTGCGTGTGCTTGTGCGTGTGTGTGTTCCGCAGCGAAGGGATCTGGAAAGCCCCTTAGGCGTGCGCGCCTGGGCACTGCGGTCAAGTGCACCGCGAATTCTGGGATAAAGGAGGCCCGGAGTTTGGAACCTTCGGTTCCGGTGCGGAGGCGGGTGCGGATCTTCCTTCCACCTTGCGGTGTTTTTGTCAGTCGGGACTAGCTAAGCAGTGTGAGGGGAGGGAAAGTAGAAACCCCTGGGAGCCCCAGCGCGGCCTCTGGAAGAGCCTGGGCACCGCCACGCTCTGGGCTCTGAGGAACCAGACGCAAAAGCCAGGTTGTGGCTGCGTGGATGGAAAATGCGAGACCGGAACAATCCCGGAATCTGGGTCAGCTAGGGCCTCGGACTGCGCGGCGGTTAGTTCACCTCTCTAAGACTCTCGAAGTGCAGGAGGCCTCACTTCCATTGACACAATTGGAGCGGGCAACCGAAGAGGGTAGTGTGCCCAGGCCCGGAGTCTGCACGCCCTGCGAGGCTGTGCCCCTTTGACAGTCTCTCCTCCAAGGCTGCGCTAGCAGTACCAGCCGGAGGGGGAGGCGCAGCATTGGAACCGATGCTGTTCTACACGGAACTTTGCTTCTCTGTTAGAAAAGAAAATGGCCAAGAGTCCCTCCTCAAGGCCAGGACTTCGGTGCCCTTGAAGACTGGACTCACACCTCCTATCCTCCTACTGTTTCCACCTCCGGAGAAGGAAAACTTATTAAAAGGAAGAATCCAAGAGATTGGATTGAATGAGGAAAGACTGCTGTCCCAACGCACTTCTAATATCCAAGCCAAAGAAATGTTTCTTAATTCGCCAGATGCACGCATTTGGGCAACACCCCCCCCCCCAGCTGCTTCTGAGAAAAAGGGTTCCAGATCATCTGCATATATTCGGAAACAGTCTCGGGTGATGGAGGGAGGATGGGTGGAGAGGCGGGGTCCAGATCTGCGCTTCTCTGCTGCTCACGTCTTGCGGGGCCCGGAGAGCCCTGGAAGCGCCACACGGAGGAATGCGGTTTCCCAGCTTTGGGCCAGCACAGGCCCGGCCCGCCGTCCTCCTGTACCACCTTCCTGATCCTTGGGCATCCATCGACTTCGTTCTTTCTCATGTCCAAAATGAGAATGCGGTACCTCAGTTTTGATTTCAGGAAGTAAGCAAAGTCTAGTTTGAGCGAAGGATTGCAAATGAAGGAGTAGAAAAAAAAATCACGCTGCTAAAAGATGTTTCACCTTAAAAGAAATCCCCATGTTCTCAGTGGACAATATGAAATAAGGTGTAAACTTTTCTCAAATTAATAGAGAAGGAGACAGGAAAAAAGGAAGAGGTCCTTGAAATGCGAGCGGAACAACTCACTTTTGGGGCTGGAAAGACAAACACCAGGGTTCTGGGAATCCAAACCAGAAGCCTCTCCCTCAGCCCCGCCCTTCCACCGAGTGGGGGACGCAGGCCACTGGGACCGGCTCCGAGAGGGTGCTGCGCCAGGTGGGGAAGGAGGGCCGCCTCTGCCTGCGAGGACCAGACCCCTCCACCCCTAACAGATGTTCAGCTCCGGTAAAGCGAGGGTAGATCTGCTTGATGTGGCACATGTGCCGTGTCCAGGCCAAGGGCCCTCTGTCAGAGTCCGGGACGCGACGCGCCCTCTCCTCCCTGCTTTCCTGCCAGGCCTCTCTACAGCGAGCCTGGGACGGTCCTTGGTCCCGGGCCCATCAGGGAAGCACTTCCGGGCCTACTTGCAGGGGCGCAGACGCTCCTAAGGAAGCTTGTTCCCCACTCCCTACCTCTTGCAGGAACCGACAGTGAGAACAGGGAGGAGGAAAGGAGCCACAACTTTGCTCTCCATGAAATGGGTTGGCACTGAACGGAACCCAGAAGGCAGAGGCGCCCCATCAGCTGTGCAGGCGCTGCTCCCCGCGCTCGGCTGGCCGAGTCGCTCCGGCCTCAGGGACTCCCCCGCGAACGCCGCTCAGCCCTCGGGAGGGCGAGGGGGGGCGAGGGGGGGCGGGGGCAGCGAGCCGCCGGCGCGGGCTCCGTCCCAGAGCGGCCCCTGCCCGGCGGGAGCGGAGCGCAGAGCAGGGGAGCGGGCCCGGCCGGAGGCTGCAGCAGCCCAGAGGGGCCTCAGCCGGAGACGCACCGTGACCTTGGCCCCGCCAGGGCCCCAGTCAAGGGACTTCAGACCCGCGGCGGCGCGGGGCCGCGCTCCCTCGGGCCACACCCGCGCCCCCCGCAGCTCGGGGCGCAGGGGGCGGCGCGGAGGCGGAGGTCGACCTCCCGCAACAGGTGCGTCCCAAGGCCCGCGGCCGCTTCTCGCCACTCAGTCCTGCCCTGGGCCGAGCCTGTGAGCTTCTCAGCCTTTGTGCTACCCGAGCCGGCAGCGGGGGGTCGCGGGGGCCCGGTCCGGAGAGCCGCTCGGCGTCCCCGCGCGCCCCGGGCGCACGGCCTCAGCTGTGCAGCCCCGGCTCCCGGGGACGGGCTCCCGCGGCTCCCCGGCGCTCCCTGTCCCCCGCCCCCAACCCAGATCTGCCGCGAGCGGCTCTTACCCTCGGCCGCGGGCGTGCGGCTCGGTGCCGCGCCCACCGCTCCGCAGCTGCAGCCACCGAGCTCCGCTCCAGAAGCTGCCGCTCGGCCCGAGCCGCGGCCCTTTGGGCTCAGGAGCCAGCACCCCCCGCGCCCCCGGGGTCGGAGCCCGGCGGCGGGCGCCCTCGCTGGCTGACCCGCCCGGCGGCGCCCGAGGAGCCGGCCACTCGGCAGCGTCCAGGGGCTCCCCTCGCTCCTCCAGCCTCAAACTTGACCGACGGAAACTTTGGCCGAGACCGAACGGCGGGAGGCTGCCCTGTGGGCTTCACCTTTTAACCCAAACCCCCTTCCCAAACAGAAAAGATGAAAGGGAACCCCCAATACCTCTAAAGATGTTCCATCAAGTGCAACCGGAGGAATAGCCTGAAAACTGGCTGACCACGGAGGAACTTCTCAAAAAGTAGTTTCTTTCTTTATCCGAGTTTATGGTGAAACAATCACTTCACCATAATAGCAGTGGGGGGGGGGGGTCATCGAAGCTTTGATCAAAGAAACCGAGAGAGGGGGTGGGGTGGGGGAAACGAGTTTTATAAAAAGTAAATATCAACATAAATCGCCGCCAGGCAGGAATCCTCTCCACTTGCAGCGGCGCATCCCGGGCGCCCGAGTGTGGCGAGAGCACTGAACTCCGAGCCCTGCAGTTGGAGATGCCAAAATCGAAATCCCAACAATTAAGTAGGTGCTAGAAGGGCCGGAGAGGATGGATCTGAGCCAACCGACTAAAATGTTTCTGTTTTCTGAGTTTCTTCATATTTTACAAAATAAACACTCATTCATCTGTGTAGTTTTTCTCATCTTTAAAAACTCTGGCTTTCATGCAGGAAAAATAGCAGAAGTTGAAGGACAGCAGAATTTTATGAGGCGATAGTAACTGCTTTTTGCAACGTTTGATGTGAGACTGGAGGATGTGAGGAAGTCCCAGAATAGCATAAAATGATGAGGTGCTAATTATGTGAATATATAGACAAGTTAATACATTGGCAGAACTAGAAGTTTGATTTTTAATGATGCATAAGCAGCAAGGCTGGCTAGAACTTA